CCTGCTGAAAGAGCTTTCTCCAGCTCTACAAGTAAAATCCTGGAAATTTTACAAAGCACGCATGGCTGCGTCATCACTTGGTACCAAAGTTATCATAGCTAGAAGGACTGAATTGTACATATTTTACGCTAATTCGGACTACTTTCTGTGTGGATATATGCATACGTGATTTAATGAATTATCTTCTTGGTGTACTGCGATAATAAAAATAGGTATTTTTTTAAGTCTTCATTTTGTTCTATGTTTCTTAGATTATGCGCATTCAAATGAAAATGTCCTGCCAGGTCACCTGAGACTTTCTCGTAACTGGGAAAAATCTTGCAAAATCCCCTAGTATACAGTATTTCCATAGAGAAAGAAAATAGAAAGTTTAAAAACTATTGACAGTGTACAAGACAACAGAGATTGAAGGCACTTTTAATTCTACTCCATTTCTGAGGCAGAATCTGCAATGAGTCAAGGGACGGCATTTTAGTGAACAAGTACACTATATCAGGGTTGTCATTTGTTTTTCAAGGGTATGAATAAGGTAAATATATTTTGGGGGTTACTGGGAATCATTCCACAATTTTATGCAATGATTTGAAATATATTTTATGTCATTTGCAATCATCGTAGACTTTGTGCTTCTGTTCCCCTCACTTTCGTTTGTCTCTTACAGTTATCTTCTGTGGTACTTTGATTTGGATTGAATTTGAATCTCTTTATCTTATTTTACTGCATCATTCTAAGTTATGCTGAAATATTAAAATATTGTTGTAATGAATAATGCTTATACTGTCCTTGGATTTCTTATTTATTTGTTCAATTGATTGCTCTCTCTCAAGATTATTGAGGGGGAAAAAAATCCTCCATTTCAAATTTACATGAAAATGCTAGGTTACGTGATTACTTTAGATACTGAAAGGAAGTTCAGAAAAAGAGTTAGATCTAAGCACCTGAGACCAAACAGGAAATGTCAAAATACTGCAGAAAACACTTGCTTGGCACGTTCTAGGTGACTTCTTTCTGGGTTTTTTTTCAGCGTGGAGGAAAGCTAGCTGTACTGAACTGAATGACGTAACGGAAGAAAACTGTGGAACTGTGATACGTTCATGGATGGGGTGTAAGCAGAAAAAGAAGTAAAATTTGTTACGTAAGTTAATTGATGATAATCCCTCAATCAACTGTAACAGAAAAGCTTACATGCAAAAAATTATTATAAATCTAATTTGAAAGGTTAGGTTTATTTACCACCAACATCACACAGGGAGACAGTTGAAATAATGTACCTGATATTATAAACAATTTTGACTATAGAAAAAGGCGTAATAGCTAAAATGGGATTTATCAGGACATTTATATAGATTTCCTAATACATCTGCTGATTTTAGAGATACTTCTATCCATATTTTTGTTTCCATTGTAATCAGATCTATGTTCTCTGTTACTTCGCACAGTGTCCAATGGGGTATCAGTGTCTCTCGTTTTTTATTACTTAGCCTTTATGCCTACTTCAATTCTGTACAATTCTTGCATTGTGGTTGTTAGACACACAGGATTTTGAAATGAAGTTGAAAAGAGTTACTACTATATTCGATGAGTCTATAAGACTAATATAGTACATAATAAAATAAAACTTTTAGGAAATGCTAAGCATTTTTTCTTTAAAGAAAATGTATAATTAGCATATTTATTTATGTAAAACATGCTAAATAGCGAATTAGCTTGTATCTAACTTTATTCCTGTTGTAGTGGTTCTGTATTTCTGAATCGAAGAAAAACCTTGTAGCAGTCCTTGCTGTTCTTTTCCATCACTCAACAAAGAATATGATTAAAATTTCATACTGTGCTTGATTTATCTAAAATTGTTGAAACTTTAAATATATGGGCTCAATCTTTATCTGACAAAACTGGCATTAGCTCTAATGAAATCAAAGCAAAGCGCTGAAGACTCCCCATTCCTTTCAAGTCATGGTGAAAAGCTCCCAGGTTGTAATAGCAGCAGTGATACTCTGATAACTTCTAATTGACCTAGATGGTTCAGGTTCCATCCCCAGATGTTGATCTCATCTTACTAGAGTAACTGAGGCTTTGCAAAACGTCCTCATAGTGGAAAGGAGATAATGAATCTAATTAATGGATGGGTAGGAAAAAAGTGAAAGAGAAAATATGAGTATCGGATATATGATGGGAGGAGACTTCATAGCTCTCCTGCCTAGTGAAACCTGCTGTCTCTACTATTTGTGCATGTGAGGAGTCCATGGTTGGAATACAGGAGTCAATAATTTTTATAGGTCTCTGAGGAAGTTGCCTGTATATGTGGCTATGAAGCAGATGGGTGGCTGGATGGATGAACTGGAAAGACTTGAAATTCATGACATGAACAAGTAGTTGTTCATGTTGAAAACAGGAAGAACAAATGGGGCAGGAAATGGGTGAGGATTTCTACTCATAGGAAGAGATTACACTGTGAAAAGGAGATAAAGTATTCCTTTCCTAGCACAATATTTGGAAACAAATTAATACATGAAGTACAAAAGCCAAGTTGATAACTAGTAGTGGTACTTTACAGATGAAACTGTTGTGTAAGCAGTTAAAAGCTATTGAATAAATTCTAACTATTTGGTAGGACACAATTTTCTTTCATGTCTTGCATGAATGATTTCTTTTTTTTTAATTCTCCTTTTCCCAGACCATTATTTTCCGCATTCTTTTCTGAAGAAAGCACACTGTCATTTTTTTTCCAGATTCCCAGCTTTTCTTCTTATTAGACTCAGGTTTCCAGATCCTTGGCACAACAAGCTACATTTTAAATGAGTCCATAGTTATTGAATAAACAAACAATCCTATGTACCAAGGTTTTATTAAGTGAGTCTACAGAGTACTGTAAGCTAGATATCAGATGTACCTTGCTGTTTCTGTAAATAAACACTACAAAATATACATGAAATGTTAGAATTAGAAATGGGCAAGGAAGTTGCTCTTTTACTTTCCAAGCATTTATTGATGTACGGAAAGTTTTATCAAATACAGATGCACAGCATTTCCATTTTTTCCATTTTTCACAGCTGTTCTGTGGATTCAGAAGTAATTTTTTATGTTTTAAAATACTTTGGGAACAGTTTTCAATGATGTGCTTTCTTTTCCTGTATTAATTTTCTTAACAGTTGACTGGCAAAAATATTTTTCCTTCATTCCTCAAATTTACTATACCTATGTATACTCTTGCTGTGAGTGCTCGACACATTTTGAGGTATGTATGACAGCGTACTACTGATTAAAACACAGTTAAAAGATTTACAGTGAGACAATATTTTTCTAAAGTTGACTTCACCTGTAGTATGGGAGTGGATATCCTTTAGCTGTACAGTTCAGTAGGATTTCTGGATTTGCTGAGCCCATGGAATAAGTGATATCGTATGGCTCTTGGATAAAAATAGGACCATGAAGGGTTTCTTCCCCTGTAAAAGAAAAACAATAATTTAAGATTAGAAATCTTTAGCATGTCCTTACACATAAAAGTGTCCTTTGGTGTCCTTTGTCTTTGGTCAAAAGTTAAGGTCTGCAATTATATTCAGCAGATAATCCACCTCCAGACATTTGGCTATTAAGGAGGAAATATTTCAAGCCTGATTGATAATAAAATCACATATCCCAGGTGTTGGTGATTTATTTTGCAAGTGACAGTGAAGACTAGCTTCTTTGCATATTTCCTATGGAAGCTGTATGGCTCTCTATTAAATGTCCCCCATCCACCTCATACTTGTGTGTTAGATCGTGACTGGAAGCAGAAAGGATGAAGTTGTGGCTTTCTGCGTTTGGCACTTCTACCTCCTTGCTCACCTGGTGAAGTGGATGTGTCAGCCTCACATCACCCTTTGAAAGACAGGCAGCTCGTTGACTGCAGCCAAACTGGCAACACAGACGTTTTGCTATGGTCCACGCATACCATGGAAGAGGGAGAGCGGGGAACTCTAGCAGATCAGCAAATAACTTCTAGATCAGCAGGTACGTCGTAGTGGGGTGGTGGTCCTGGGCTTTCCTTTCCTCTACCATTTGGCCCCTCTTTCTGGTGATGGGGTCCAGAAGGTCACATCACAGTCTAAGGGAATCAGTCATTTCCTTCTCCTCTAACCCTTCACATCCTCTGATATATTACTGCTGTATACTTTAGCTGGCCTGGTTTCAGGGTTTGGTTTGGGGTTTTTTTGTTTTGTTTTATTTTTCTCCTCATTTGGGTGCTTTTAAAACAGAAGTAGCATTAAATAAAGGTTGATTGTTCATCATTTTCACTAGAACCTGTATCCTCCCGGCGACCCAAAGAGTCTAATTAAAGCATGTAAACATAAGGGGACAACAGACATGTGGGTTGGGGTGACACCCATTTGCTTCCTCAAAATCTCAGAGGTCCCTGCAAGGAAAACTTTCATGGGGATTAAGTGATTTTTTCACATCTATAACTGAATACTGGTGACAGAACAAATAAATGATCCCCAATCCTAGAATAAATCTTAGCGACTGGACCATCGTCCAGTCCTCAGATGTCTTACGTGAGTCCAAGAAACCCAGAAAGTTTGCAGCACAGTTACACAGCTGGGAAGAAGAGGTAGTAACCCAAAAAACTAGTTGCTTTATGGTTGTGTTCTGGAAGAAACGTAAATGTTGGCAGTAATCATGTCTGATTTTATTCACCTATTTTATCTGCTTGCTGGTAATGAGAGAGGGAAGGTACAACCTGCTTCGCAAAGGCCACTGCTTCACCATACCTTGTGTCATCACTTCAGTCCCCGGCTTGCCAAGAGCAACCCTCTTGCTCTATAGCTCTGTAACTCCTAGAGGATTTTCTCAGCTTCTACAAATAGGGCTTGCTCTACTGACACCAGCAGAGTCTCCTCCTGCATCCCCAAAGACGATCAGCTGTCCCGATGCATTAACCCAGCGCCCACCCCCAGGCAGCTCCCCAAGCTTCACCCCAGCCAGGTCAGCCCCGGCCGCTGGCACCCTGTCAACCCAAACACCTTCTGCAGGGCCATAAGCAACTGCACAGGCTGCACGTCAAAAATCAGATCATCTGTATCTGCTACCAGCTGTATACGTATTCATCACCCTTTGTACTTTTCAACCACTTCAATCTATTTCCTCTGAATTTTAAAAAAGCCACATCAGCATTGTTGTCAGCTTTCATCTTTTTGTGACACTTGCTGCTTTTCTGAGAGTCCTAACCCTGAAATTGTATGAATAATTTTTATCTGAAGTAATGAGATTATAATATTTATTTTTTAAAATATCATTGATTTTTAATCTTTATTTCATATCTGAACTACTTTTAACTAAACCAGAAAAGTTAACAACCCCATCTTTCTAGCAGTAGAATTGGTTTTTACTGACGGTTGTAGTCAGACTTTTCTACTTCAGTGGATCTAAAGAAAAGAACATCTGGCAAAACTCTAGAGAGTGATGAACAAATGAAAATGTTTTATACTCAAGCTTTTTTGACCAGAAGACTTTTTAAGGATGGCATCTGATAATCATAATGTTTTCCACATATCTTAATTGAGATGCCCATTCTTATGTGTCTGTTATCCTTTGGAAACTCAGCAAGTCAGCCCAGTTGTGTTTTCATGAGCAGTACCTGTGAGAAATAGCCTTCAAGAGAATTGGAGTAAAATTCAAAGTAGCAGTCAAAAAAGATTGATTTGTTTTATACCACAATAGCTGTTTGGGTAGACACATCTCATTTTAAGAATATCTCATGTTATAAAGGAGATAGTGTGGGCATACTAGAAAGAAAAAATACATCCTCTCATTTTAGGATATAAAGTAAGTCAGGCTAGTAAAACAGCTGAGATGAGATAGTGGTTTGAAGACAAAATATTAAACTTGGCTGAACATTATATGTGGTGTTGTAAGTGACATAACAGACCATAAAATGCAGTAAATCACGTAAAAAGTATCAATTTCCATAACTTTTTCATTCTGTTAAACTTTGCAGACTCTATGTGAGCTTAGAGTAGACTCCAAATATTTCACGACTTATCCATAACTAGAGGACACAGGTGAAAATCTCAGAAAATATGAAGCAAACCCAATGAAAGACTCTGCCGCTCAACTACGTTCAAGACATGATAGGGTCTTGCTGTTTGCTTTTGGTGGGGTTATTCAAATACTTAAAGATAAGCATGCATTTCAGCCCTTCCTTCTGTCTAGAGCTTAAATTAATAATTTTTTTATTCTCTATATTATGGTTCTTCCAGGGGTCTTTAGTCATAGAGCAAGATGCTGTACAAAAATAAATAACTCCTATCTTACAGTTCCAACTTTCCAATCAGAAAGATTACGCATCTCCCAATATTGACTAAGACCCCAAATTATTTTTCCTTTATTTCATACTTTCAGAATCAAATGTTTGTAAAGTAAACCAGTACTATTTCCTTTTCTCATGGTAGTCTTTCTTCTTGTGGGGAGTAGAGGAGAAGACAATTTGTTCAGCAAACCATGCGGGGCAAGGCCAAGAGGCTCTCACAGAGGGTGGCTGGATTTAGTTAAGTAATCTTTGTTTCTTTTCTTGCTACTCTTCTATTTTTAATCCCATGACAAATTTTAAGACTTCTTTTTTCACTGTTTCTACAGCTGATCCTTTAACTTGTCTTTTCTTTGGTAGGAATTTTCTTCCCTTCTGGGTTAATTTACTTAGCCTGTTAGTCATTCTTGTTACCTTCCCAGAACTGCCAGTGAAAAGCTTTTCCAAAGCACCAAAATGACCTAGGGGTCATTGTTCCATTTTTTCAAATCAATGTATCTGGGTGGGCCTGAAATTAACAGTGGTGAGCTACCTGATGTACATAAAAATCCCTGGTTTAGGTGGGACGTAAATGTAAATATTTTGGTAAATCTGGAATTAAATTCCCCTGATGAGTTCTAAATGGAATTTAGACTCATTTGTCACTTGCAGACTTTTGAACATCTCAGTTCTTATATCCCCTTTCAGTGTCCTTAATACAGCAGACTCGTACTGTGTCGAATAAGGACACAATAGTTTACCTGTACCCTAACAGCTCCTTTACAATAGACACATCGCAGTCCCTATCACAAAAATATTGTCCCTGAATTTTAGTAAAGGTGGCTTCATGCTATCCTTTTGTTTTCTCTTTAATATCCTTTTGTTGCTGCCTGATCTGCAGCAGAGAATAACACGAAATTTGTTAGAAATGATGTGCGTTTTCAGAGTCAATGGTGTACTATGACTCCATCTCTTATTTATAGAAAAGGTCAGGCTGGTCATTTCTAATTTCCTGATGCATCCTTTTGTGTTTTGTATAGAGAATGGCCATATATTTCTCCCCCATTCTCCAAATTCAATACCAGTCACCATGATTTCTCCAGATATACATATGACAAATGAATCTTTGTAGGACTGTTTACTTTTGTTAAGATTTAAATAATTCAGACTTTTTTAATCTGTGGGACTATGAATATTTAATTAAATGTATCATTTTTATACATAAAAATTGTGTGCAAATCCTCAGCATGGTGCTTGAAAGCTAATATAAACTCTTGTTATGAAATGTTTTATAAGAAGTTAAAATGTATTTCTTTATGATACCAAATCAGTTTGATCTCCATAAAGACCATAATTATGCTAGTCTGAATTCAAATCTACAGTATGAAAATGAATCAACATTCCTTTATTCATTATATGATATTGTCTTCAGCCAATATAGAGATTAACACAGTGCCAATGGAAGAGGAGGAAGCCTATTTTTATCATAATCATGTATCAGCAGAAGATATCACAATGCTTTCCTCTCATTGCTTTATGGGCAATGGTTAGTTATATTAGGCTATGATATTCGTATCAAATGTAGTCAAAGAATTTTTGGGCAGTCACAATAAATATTTAAATGCTTATGCGCTGTCTCATCCAGAGAAGGAGAATGAAATGCAAATTTGGAGCCCAAACTTAATCAACTTAATTTCCAGCCAAATCCTGCTCCCTGTTCTTTCCTGTTGTCTGACTCTGGCTGGCTTCATATTAGCTCATTGTGAGGTATCTGCTCAACTGGAAATGCTAGGCAATGCAGCCTGAGAGCAATTTAGGCTGGCCAAGCCATACAGCCTGAGAGCAATTTAGGCTGGACAAGACCCAGTCTGTAGCATACGTGTAGATAACTTAGTAGACCAATATTGCAAACCAGCTGACTTCTTTTTATCCTTTTCCTACCACAGATTTTCCTTTCTATTATGATATTTTTGACAAAGTGGAGTTGTAATTACTGTTACTCAAAACTGATCAGTAATATCAGATAAAATCTGTTTGGCGAAACTGAAAGTATCCGAGAAACATCATGCTCTGCTTGCAGAGAAAGACCACGCAAGGCTTTAGATTTGCCTTTGTGAATCAGCTCCAAATAGACAAACTTAAGAGGATTCATTGCTCAAGGACCAGAAATGTA